GAACGTTCAGAGCGCAACCTGTGCTAAGGATTGCCTCAAGTGCTGGAAAGCACCCTTCTTCCACACGCTAACAGCTCAACCACAGCTACACACCTCTCCTTGTCCCTGAGGTACACTGGAGAGTCCCATCCTGCAACTAACCCCCACCAGACCCAGGGCCTAAGGTGATTCTGCTGAGGCAGAGGCCACATTCAGCTGGAGGTGTGGCCATGTGGAAGGAGTCAGGTGCAAGAATTAACAATCTAACCAGACACAGAGGAATTCAGGGACCCAGGGCCTCAAATGTCAACACCACACAGCCCCTAATAGGGGTCCCCAATTCCCCCCAGCAGAAGCAAGGAGTTCCGGCAGCAAAAATTCAGAAGAAAACTTTTTTTTTCCTCCTAGTACCCATTTATAATACCCACTAGCACTAAGTGCTCAGTTAGGTACTGGGAGCCTGAACAAGGTTCAGAGGGTCCCTCCCAGGAAGCTCACAGTGAGTGATTAGAGAGACAACAAACAAGCCATGGATCCCTTGGCAGGTGCTGGCCATAGAAGTCACTGCATGGGCCAGCACATTAGTGAGATATGACACTCACTGAACCCTGAAGGTGTCTGCTGGGAGCAACGGCTGTGAGCAGGAGGAACATGAGAACAGAAATGGAAGAAGCCAAAGATGAGGGAATTCCACAAGGCACTATAACCCGGCTAACGGCTGAAATTACAGAGTAAAGCAGGGGGGAAAAGGTGTGACTCAAAACCCCAGAATGAAGGAATCCTGAAATCCTGAGTCGAACCAGAAGGCGGTGAGAGTTGCTGGCCCTCAAAGCCAGAGAACACACTTGTTTGCTCATGCGTTCACTCATTTGACAAGTATCGGAAGCCAACTCTGTTCCAGGCCTTCCAGCAGGGTGCTAGAAATAAGAGAACCACTCCCTTTCCCCTAGGGCCTTGGAAACCATGGGTGCCGACAGGTGATAATGGAAACAAGCACAATGAAATGCCAGGGGCACGGAGGGGAGGTACAAGGAAGACACAGCCAAGGATGCCAACCCCTTTGAGGGCAGAGAGCAGCAAGCCAAAGGCACACCTGTAAAAGGCCATGGCGGTGGCAGTTGGGCAATGCAGGGAAGGAAGCAGAAGGAAAAGGGAGATTAAGGGCCCCGAGGTTTACAGATTCACGGCTGTGCATCTGGCAAGGTGAGCTGAGGTGACAGAGGAAGAAAGGTAGTTGTGGAAGCTCCTGAACTGAGTGTCTATAAACCATCTCCATCCGTGACCAGGTGCCCTGGTACAAATGGCTCTGGGAATGGGGACGTATTTCTCTTTCCCAGAGGTGAATTCCATGCTGGACCTTCAGATGGTTAGAAGAGAACTGATACTAATCCTGGCTCCACGCTCTGGAGCAAACCACAAGCAACATGCTCCCTCTTGTGTTCTACTTCCCATTGACCGGGAGAGTTCTGCTCACTTCTAACTCAATTCCATCAGAGCACAGAATTCTACACTTGCAAGTGGAAGAAGAGTATTCTGGGGGGTGAGCTTTACCCTCACAACTTCTCTCTTTTGGAGGAGAGGAGATTATGTCAGGGCTAGAGAAGGGAAGTGACTGTGCCACCCACCGTGCTTCTCTTTGGCCATTCCCACATCTCTCCTGCGGAGGCTCTCACTGGTCTGTGAGCAGCTCTTCCCTGGCCCAGCTGAGTGATCCTCATTATGACGAGCCCGACATCTGACTCCCAGCCACCAAGGCCCTCTACAGCCTAAAGGACATTTAGAGCGAATGTCACCTCTCCAGGTGACAGCCCTTTTTGGGTTCCTCATTCTTTCCACCCTTTTCTTGGGCAGCCAAGTTTGCACCAGCACCGGCCTCCACCATGTCTCCTCTATAGCTGCTGACCAGTCTATATTAGTATTACTATGGAGAGCCGAGCAACATGCTGTGGCCCAACTGCAGCCTCCGCGATGGGCAGTAAAGCTGTCACCTTTAACACTCTAAGCTAGAACGTGTATGCTGATATGCCCACATCACCCAGCCCTTGCCAAATGCAATCTGAGATGTGGTCTCAAGAGTAGGTTATTGAACTGTTAAACATCACACTGTCGGATCTGACACCTGTACCAGGTGTCCTGCTTGCTGCAATGCACTTTATCCATCCTCCTGCTTTCCCCAAATGTATAAAGCGATATCGCTCAAAGTCAATAGTACACAATCACTCTGACGACCAGGGGTGAGCAGGGTAGCAAATGCCTTCAAAGCAGACTTCACTGTGGAGGTCACTCTCCAGAGGCTGTCGGCTGCCTACTCTTCATACCCCTGAATCACACATCCTTTGGGGCTCCCTCACTCTCATTCCATACGTTTCTAAACAACTCCCTATCATTGAATCTGAAACCAGACTCAAAGCTAACTGAAACGGAGCAGCTGACATGGCAGAGAGGCCTGCGCCCACACTGAAGTACCCAGGTCAGTTCCCAGCTCTGCTCCTGTATCCACTTCCTGCCGATGTAGACCCTGGGAGGCAGTGCTGATGGCTCAAAGACCTGGCCTCCTACCATCTACAGGGGAGATATGAATTGGGACCTTGGCTCCTGACCCTGACTTAGCCGTAACTGTTGTGAGCATCTGGAAAGAAAACCAGTAAACTTGAACTCTACTCTCCATCAAATCAACAAACACATTTTTTGTTGTTGTTTTAAATGGCATTTTCCCTTGCTATCTTCTCCCAGCCATGGGCAGTGGCTTCAGGAGAGGTAACCATAGGCAGGCAATCCCATCAGAGGCAGGGCGGCCAAGAAACAAGCAAATAGAAGAAGTCTTCTCCATCTGGGGCTGTTGAGAATGGGGTGCAGACCTCTAATCTCTGTGCAGCAAGAACCACCCTGGAGGAAAATCCAGGCACAGAAAAGCAGGACAAACAGATGACGAGAGAGCAGGCTACACTCACACATCACTTCAGCACCTGTCTCCAACCCTGCCTAAAGCCTGTCTCTGAGCTCATTCCATTAAACAGAAAGTTCCCTTTTAGCAAAAAATCGATTTCAGCTAGGTTTCTGCCAACAAGTGCAAGCCAGGATTCCACAACTTCCCTGACGGGAACTCAGAGGAGATTACACTGTACCTCACCAGATCTAAGACACCCTGAAGCCTTCACCCACAGCACGGTGAGTCCAGCCACCAGAGTTCCCTGGAGGCCTTGGGCAGATAACTGAGGCTCACGTCCCCTCTGCTCCCTGTAAGCAATGTGGAGACACTGTACCCGCAACATGGGATCACTGTGAGAAAAGCCAGGGCATCTGAGTCCTTAGCACATGGCCTAGTAAACAGAAATGTTCAAAATATCACCATAAGCATCACTGATGTTATGCCACTGTCATTACCAGATTCATTTCAGTTGTCATGAGCTGATGTGTTTGAGGTTGGTGCAGGAGCTTGATTGGCTGATGTGCCCTTCTTCAGGCTCTCAAGCACTGGGATCTCATATGGACGCTGGTTTGTATCCCAGCTGCTCCACTTCCTATCCAGCTCCCTGCTTGTGGCCTGTGAAAAAGGACCCTAAACCATGGGACCCTGCACCCGCGAGGGAAACTTGGGAGAAGCCCCTGGCTTCTGAGTTTGGATCTGCTCAGCTCTGGCTGTTGTGGCCACTTGGGAAATGAAACCATGGATGGAAGATCTTTCTATCTCCCTTTCTTTCTATATATCTGCCTTTCCAAACATCCAAAAAAAGATTCCGTGTGTTCACTTTTTACACCGGTAATAGCACAGGTGTCCCTGCCTTCCGGTGCGAGCACTCCTCCAGCTCTTCTGTGAAATTCCTCATCTTTTCAAGGACTAACAACAATTCACTTTCCTTTCTCTAACCCCTTTGCCAAAACCCAGTCACCATCCACTGCCATGGCGTAACCACCTCTCTTCCTGCTGATAGCCAGAGGCTCTGGCCACTGCAGGAAGGAGGATAAGGGGCAGCAGGAGGGACACAGGTATGGCGCTGGGTCCCAGCCCCGGGCTGGAAAGCATGAGCCTCCTCCCCGCTACACAGGCACTTAGCTCCACCCAGTTTAGATTCAGTCTAACTCAAGGCAAATCTCAGAAAGCAAAAATTGGGCTCCTAATTAAAAGGTAGCCTTGAGCTGTCATTAAAATTATACATAAAAGTTTAAAACACAGTAGTGATTTCCTGGAGACAGATTTTCACTTGGGTTATTATTATTATTATTACTTCATGTGTGGGGGTCAACAGAAAGAGTATGCGCTTCACCACTGACCCCCCCCTTTCCATCCTGGGGAGCTTGCACAGCCATCTTGTATACGCAAAACACTCCACCCCAGTTCAAGCTGTGGCGTGAGCCAATGGCAAGCCTTTTCTGTTCTTGCTTCTGGAAAGCAGTAGCGATGATGGTTTGTTTCGCCTGGAGTGGGGAGAGCAATGCTTCACAGCATCCTGTGCCAGCCAGCAAGTGTGACTAATCCCCTTCGAGCCAGAGCTCGAAGGGTCTGACAGCACCAACTCACCGCCAGCACCCTGCCGCCGAGTGCAGCAACCATCTGCTCACCCACCCGTCCTCTCCACTAGAGAAGGCCTGTTAGCGCCTACACTCTGCACAGGGTACAGCACAGGTGCCACACCACGAGCTCCACAACAAATACCCAGTGTGGGAGGGGCTGTATGAACACACAGAATGCCAAAGGGAACATCTGGCTCCATGAATGGCTAAGGACTCCTCCGAGGGCTGACCTTCTCCCAGTTACCAACCTGTGTGTGGCTCAACTTTGTGTAGCCAGCACCAAGCCATTACATCGAGTGCACCTTCTTTTGCTTTTCTGTTTTTTCTCACCTTGCCCACTGCCTCCAACTTCCCTTATGATCCTATGGGAACCAATTCCCGCAACCAGGCATCAATATCCCATCATGCTACAGAATGGAAACCCTGGTATCCAACAACAACATTGTGATGTTTCTAGAATTCAGTGACAGCCATAGTCTATCCCCCCCACATCTCCCTCCTTTCCTTACCTTCCAAGCTCCCAGCAAACAAGTAAATCCAGGTGACAGCCGGGATGCAGAGCAGAGTCAGAGAGGCAGCCAGGAATTTCCGTCTCCCTCTGCAGATTCCCAGCATCCTCTCGGAAGTGGCAAACCCTAATCCCAGCGCCGCGTCTCTGTCGGGAGCATGAAGTCGTCGGCCTCCCTCATAATAATTCCTGAAAGGAAGAGCAAAGGGGAAGGGCTGAGTTCTTGGCGCTGGAGATGGACACCAAGGACAGAGACAAGCCTCTCCCAGGGGGTGCAAGCAGTTCACCTGCTCACCTTTAGTCCCAAGAGATGCGGCTGCAGCCCTGCTACCTGGCAAAACAGAGACATTCAGTAAACAGCACAGGCTTAAACCCCACGAGGAGTCACACACATGCACACACTTTTAAAGCATTTATTTTATTTATTTGTAAGTCACAGTAAGAGAGGAAGAAAGAGGCAGAGTGACAGTGAGAGGGATAGGGAGAGAAATATTCCATCTGTTGGTTCACTCCCTAAACAGCTGAACAGTGGGGTGGGCCAGGCTGAAGCCAGGATTATGGAACTCCATCCGGGTCTCCCAGGTGGACAGCAGGGACCCATGTACTTCAGCCACCTGCTGCTGCTTGGGCACACACACTACCAGGAAGCTGGATAAGAAGAGCAGCAGCCTGGCTTCAAACCAGCACTCTAATGTGGGACGTCGGTCATACAGCGTGGCTTAAGCCAATGCTCTACACTGCCTCCCCCATAACACACTCTCACTCATTCTCTCTGTCTGTCTCTCTTGTACAGACCTAAGTTAACACCCTTGAAGAGCACTTAGTTGGCATTTTTTATGGAAAAAGATGTACAACCAGATGTTATGTACAACCAGGTACTCTGTTTTCCAAGAAAATGAGAACCGAGGTTGCCTTCCAAATGCACATTCTAGTGGTACAACTTGTGGCACCGAGGGTCAGGCCTCCCCCAGAGAGCTGGGTTGAGTCCCGGCTATTCTGCTTCTGATCCGGCTTCCTGCTAATGACCCCTAGAAAATGGCAGATGATGACTCAAGTTCTTGGACCCCTCACACATAACTGGGAGAGTCAGACAGAACTCTCAGCTGCTAGCTTCTGTCCAGCCCAGCCCTGGCTGCTGCAAGAATTTTGGGAATGAAGCAGAGGATGAAGATCTCAATCATTCAGGAAAAAAGCACACAAACATGAAAGGGGGCACATTCTAAAGAGACCACAAACATCCGCAGGAACCTCCAGAAAAGTAACAGCTGAGATCTATGTGCACGAGACACAGTGAAAGGAATGCCACCATTGCTCAGTAAGCTATGTGCAATTGAGTAGACAGAAGGGTTCCCATGTTCCTGGCAGAAGGGTCTGGGCAAAGCACATGGGATAGACTGAAGAGCACACACAAGGGACAGGTGGCTGGGTCAGACCATGGCAGTCTCCTGCATGAGCCATACTTTGGCCACAGTCAACAGGGACTGTGCTGAAGGCTTCTATCTTCAATATGGAAGACGAGGAAACAAGGAAAGACATGGGAACAAGTAGAATCTTCTTTGAGAAGAAACCGGCTAATGGACAGCCACCCTGCAGAGTGGCTTCAGTAGGTGACTGCACATTGGGTTTTCCTAACAGTTGAAGTTAACAGCCCATGATCTTTCATTTGAACCTCTCTGCCCAGGAAGTCAGGTGACTTACCAAGGCACCACAAACCTAAAACCTCAAGAGACCACAGGATTTCGCCTCTTCCCATCCCTAACACAGATGCCACGCTGGCAACTAGGGGAAGAGTCCACACAGATGGGGCCAACAGAGAACCCATGCCTGGTCAACAGCTGGCCAAAGCTTTCAGATGTCCAGAAATTGGATGTCCATTAGACGGAGGGCTTGGTCTTCCCCAAGCCCACCATGCCTCCTCCCCTTGTCAGAACATTCACACCCCTATGGCAGTGGCATGCTTGGCTGCCTCCTCTTACCTTCAGCTGTGACACTGTCCACCCCATATGACACCCATTGTGCCCCCCAAGACTTAGCACACAGCCTGTCAGCTGCCAGTGCCTGGTCACTGTTAAAGGAATAAATGGAATCAGACTGTAACCCAAGGTGATCCTCGGAAGCTTCAGGAACTTGTGTTCAGCAGGCTGCTGGTGGTAGACACCTAACGGAGAAGTCTCGACTGTCGTGGCTGAGCTTTTCTGCCGCAACCGCTTTGACATGATTTCCTAAACGACCTTTTGAAATGGATGAAGGACTACAGAGCTGGAGGGTGTGGACACGCAAGTAAAACGCAGAAAGCCAAATTTTTTGAACAAAGAAATGTTGACTTGAGAACAGTCCCCCGGAGGGACATCTCCCCTTCACACAGACTCAGCCAGTCACAGAGAAACAACCAAGACATAGGAGCCTTTGAGGAGAAGGGAGTGCAGGGGGAGGAGGCTGTGCAGTTCTACACAGCTGAGTTCAGGTGCAGGTGCCGCGCTGCCTGTGACCTTGCCTTGCCCCTCCCTGCGGAGAAACCTCAGTGCACTCATCTATAAAGGGAAGCGACTTCGCCTTCCCAGGAAGGCTGAGAGGCCTTGAGTACATGATCAGCAAAGATGTACCAGGTTCATTTCAGGGGTGACTAGTGAACAGCACACTCTTACTAATGCTGGTACCTCCGCCCACCGCTACACTCACCCCACATTGTCAGGCAGAAGGAGATCCCCAACAAATAGGTACTAACAAGACAAACAGATCATTGCAACCTGAACGACTTCCCTTTTCTGATCCACTCTTCACTGGGAAGGACCACCACATTTAAAATCAGATTATTATTGTTATTACATTTCACCAATCGTAAGTCAAGATAATCTATAAGTACTAGTTACATGTCAAGCCACTGTCTATTTTCTATATACACCTGTATTATTCTCAACATCACCAATGAGACAAGGAATGTGTTGATTTTCCATTGTTGAGGTGTGGAGGTTCATTAATTGCCACAGGCTTCCCACCAATCAGAAAGTGACAGCCACCCTTGGACTCCACTCTCCTCCCAAGCAGATTCTAACAACCTTTGCTAAGAGCCAGCCTTCTTTTGCTCTAACCTGACTCATTCAGGCTGAATCCGAAGATTTGTTTCCCTCCAAAGGTCAACTACATTCCAGCAGTTCTTCTCCCCAACAACCCCCATGCCCCCAAATACAATGACAGAGACTTAGATAGCTACAAGCAGGTTTAGACTCCAGACTAAAGTAGGAAAGAAACAAAACTAGCATTAATATTTAAATGATATTTTAAAAACAACACTTGAAAATGCTTATTTTCCTCCTTTGCTGTCTCCATCTGCAGAACTTAATTTCAACTTGCATAATTTGTACAAAGTTTTAAAACAGTTGAGGGTGGTTTGCCTTTTATGATAACATTGGCATCTGAAATTAAACCCAGCAGGTAAAAAATATTCCTTCATCGATTTGACTTTTAAATGACACCGCTGTGCACTCAAAACACATTTTAAAGAAAAGAAAAAAATATATATCTCACTTTTCTATCACAAGTTACTCCAGGAAGTCAATATAGGAATTCACACAAGAAGAATGGAAGGATGAAACAGGAGGTGGGCTGGAAATTACATCCTAAACAAGAGCAAATATTGATGCATTCACTACAAAGACCAGCCTCCTGACCTCTGCTCCCTCACTGCTGCCCAGCTCCGTCACTTAGCCCTGTCCACTCAAGGGTCTAGCGACCCTCCCTCAATATCAACACCCAATCCTGGGCCCAATTCTTCCTCCTCAGTACCTACTCCATTTGTCTTCTCCCATGTGTCAGTAATCATAAACGCACCTTGATCAAGAACATTGTAAGAGCCAGAAAAATCAGCAGAATTTGCACAGCCATAAAGGCAGGGTTCAACGCTGAATGTGCAATGTATCCTACAGCCCAAAGTAACACATTTTATACACACGGGCAAATATTTACACATCTATGAGGCTAGTTGAAAAAGTTAAAAAATATGATGTCATTTTGATGCAGGCAATGCTCACTGTCCATATTATTTTTAAAAAGGATGCAACACATAGAAGTTTTTTTTAGCACTAAAATAAGCTTGTACTTTTCATTCCATTTTTCTGTGAAGTTTTTTGAAGTGTGTGTGTGTGTGCGTGTGTGAAGCTTCAACATACAATGTTAGCTGAGACTATTTATATACAATGTTAGCTGACAGTATTTATACACAAATGATTTCAATGTATATGAGCATGTACTTGTCCCAGATTTCACACAGGAAGTATGCACTGCTTCTCAAAACCACTTAAGAGCATAAATCATTACATCATCTTCTGTCAAACTCTTCAGCACAAACAGCACGGGCCGCTGCTCTATGTGCTGGCTGTCATTTACACGCTGGCTGCAGTGAGTTAACATCTGTGGTTTCCTAATTGGGAACACACCCCCCAGGGGAGGCTGGCTACCACGTGAAAGACCTCAGTCAGAAGCCCACGCTATACACGCCCTGCTCCGGCTATCTCTGATCAAGACTGAAGCTGTCGTTTAATTAGCATCATAGATGTTAGAAATGATTTTGTATGGCTGTTCACAATGAGTGGAGTGTCTAAAAGCAGTGCATGCAAAGATACATAGAAGTCTAAGGAACAACGATTTAAAAAATAAAAATAAATCTAAAGAATGCAGTGACTCTAATCCTCCCCATATCACTTCGGTTCCCTAACAGTGCAGTTAACAACTGGAGGACTGAAGCCACTGATTCTAGTTAAAGACTGGCTGCCACTCGCAGACTGTCACCTCTGCCCAGAGTAGCCTGTCTTTCAGGCAGCTGTCACAGTGTCCCCGAGGCCTACAGCAGATGTTGGCTTTTGTCATCAGGACTGTTGCGACCGTCCTGCTGGCCTTTCACCCCAGACATCCGAGCAACATCACTCCTCCTGCTCTGGACCACCCTAACATTGGCGTCCTTCCTGCTGCTGTTGGGGGTCCTCTCTGGCCTGTCCACTCCTGGGGGTCCTCCTTCCCTTCTGCCTCAGCTCCAGTGGGCCTGAGGAGCACACTGGGAGTCATCTGTCCTCTAGTCATGTCCAGTGTGTTACTCCATCACAGGCAAAGCTTCCAGGTTTTCTGGGGTTGCATGACGCCCCTCCTTGACAGCAGCACCTAACTTATCCACCTCC